TTTTTCACTGCTGAAACTTTGTATTTGCTAGTGATAGTGCGAATTAGCAAAGCCCTTTTGGAAAGCAGTTTGTCAAGGTGATAAATAGTACCGAGAATAGTGTCTGGCGTGATAAGTGCTCAATATACTTATTGAATGAATATTGATAAGAGTAAGGTCGACATAGCAGCTAACATACACTAAATGCTTACCCTGTTCTAAGCTCTTTCTGTGGTTAAACTTATTTAGTTCTTACATCAACACTATTATTAATCTCAACTTGACACAGGAGACTTGAGGATAGAGAGGGTACCTGGCTTAAGCTCACCCAACTAGCAAGTGGAGGAGCCAGCATGTGCGCCCCTTCCCATCATATATATCTCCAGAATCTGCTGTGTTCATCCCTCCTTTTTTAAAAATAATATTTATTATTATTATTATTTAAATTGATTTCAGAGCAGAAGGGAGAGGGAGAGAGAGAGAGAGATAGAAACATCAATGATGAGAGAGAATCACTGATCGGCTGCCTCCTGCAGGCCCCCTACTGAGGATCGAGCCTGCAACCTGGGCATGTGCCCTGATTGGGACTTGAACCTGTGACCTCCTGGTTCAATGCTCAACCACTGAGCCAAGGCAGCCAGGCTGTTCATCCCTTCTGACCTGGTAAAATCCTTTCCAAGAATCTGCCCTGAAGACATAATCAGCCAGAGACAACAGCCTTTATACCCAAAGGTGTTTGTTGCAGCTTTGCTTACAATAGCCCAAACTTGCAAGTGTTTTCAGTGTGCAGCAGCAGGGACTGAGTCCGTCAGCTTTGCTGTATCCAGTATAGAATTACCTGGCCATTTAAGCAAGAACTATGGATACCATAGCGCAACCTGGAATGTTTAAGGAGAAAAGAGGTGACTGGTTACAAGTCAGTAACAACCCTAACAGTCTTGTATACATGACTCAAAGACGAAACGGGTGGAGAACAGCGTTCCTGGTAGTGTGTCAGGGAAGAGCTGTGGTGGATGCTGCTTCTCCTTTCTGAAAATGTGTTGTTACTGTTTTTAATGTAGGAGAAAGAAAAGGGACTGAGCCAGGAGTCAGGATGCCTGGTCAGGTTTTGGGTGACATGGGCAAGTCACTGTCATTTGGGCTTCAGTTCCCTCATCTGTAAGAAGACTTTCGAACTAGCTGCTCTGAGCCCCCTTCCAACATGAAGGTCCCACATATTGGAGGACACAGGAGCTGCCCATCAGACTGGTGCTCTGCGGAGGGGAGAGATGAGGAGAGCCTGCTCCTGGCTCTCCTCACTCAGTAGGACTCAGTCTCCTCCTGCCCAGAGTTGCTGTGGCCACTCTGACCCCCAAGTGGGCTTGTGGGGAGAATATGCATTTGAAAAGTTCGTGTATACACTGGAGCTTTTCAAATATATGCATGATAATAACTACCAAGTGAAACCTTTGACCAGTTATAGAAGTAGTATGTAGTACCTGTAACAGGTCAGTTCGTACCCAGGTGTATAGAGAAGTGAGACTTTCCCTTTCTAGTCCCATCCCTGACAGTTGGGGGCACATCCTTCCACTCCTTTCTCTACTGGTACAGACATACATACACATCTTTTTTCTTTTCCTAACCAAAGTGAGATTTTACTTTATATCTTATTCTACAACGTGCTTGTTTTACTTCATCAGGGAAAACGTTCAATGTCGGTACAAATAAGATGTCATTTCTGTTAATGGCTACTGAACCTTCTATTGTAAATATGTACTATAGTATATTCAGCTAGTCATACACTGGGGCCTTGACTTACGAGTGTCCCGACTAACGAGCTTTTTTGAGATACGAGCCGTCTCTCGGCCGATTTTTTGCTTTGAGTTGCAAGCTCAAAAAAATTAGGGTTACGAGCCAGCTTCAGATACTCCACCGCTAGTTGGCGCAGCGAACGTCACAGTGATTTGACATACGAGTAATTTGAGTTATGAGCTCCGTCACGGAACGAATTAAACTCGTAAGTCAAGGCCCCACTGTATTTGGTTGAAGAGTTGGCCTATTTCTGGCATTTTGCTATCACAAAGAATATTTCAGCCACCATGTATATCTTGCTATAGATACAGAGGTATACACACATGAGTAAGAAAGAGAAAGAGATTGAGATTTCTGTATCCCAGGAGTTTCTACAGATTAGTTTTATCCAACGTGGCATTTTTGAGTTAAAAGAGATAAAAATTTTAATGGAAAATTTTGGTCATTATACCTGTTCTCAATCAACAGATACTGGAAGTTTAGTTTGGTGGTGGTGGTGGTGTGGTGGTGTGTGAGCGTAATGTTTTGACCGTGAATAAGGGTTTTCACACGGACCCCCACGAGGCCAGGATTCCTGGGGTAGACCAGTAGGAAGAACTGCCCCTGGCCTGCCTCCTCTCTCGGGGAAGGTAGGAAAGGAAGAACTGAGGCTACTTTGAAGAACTCATTTTCTCTTTTTTTCCTAATGTACACCCTTCACCTGATTCAGAAGCAGCCCACCTGCTCAGTAGATAGGGCATTTCCACCCCTGGGCCCACTGACCAGAAGAGCTTGTCATCATCATAGGACCTAGAGTGCCGGGTCCCTATGAGTCCATGTGGACCCCTGGGCCACATTTCTTGTGTTACAGATGGGGAGACCCTAGAGAGGGGAAGGACTTGCCAGGGTCACTAGGAAAGTTGGTGGCACCACTGAGTCCCAAAGGAACTTCCATCTACCAGGCCAATACCCAGGCACATTTATTTGGTACCCACAGGGAGAGGGACACAGGACAGGGTCAGGCCTGGATTTGCATCTACCGTGTGCCTGGGGACAAGTCTACCTGCTCTGGGACTGTTTCTCTGTCTGGAAACACCTTTGCCTTGGGGCTGCCCAGAGGATCCCAAGAAATCCCAGAGAGAATTAAGAGCGTGAGGAGCAGGTGGGGGCTGACTCCCAGAGCCTCGTGGGGCTGTGCCTGGTGAACAACACTCCTCCCCTTGCTCCGCAGCTGGTGTTCCCTCTCGAATGGTTCCCGCTCAACAAGCCCAGCGTGGGGGACTACTTCCACATGGCCTACAACATCATCACGCCCTTTCTCCTGCTCAAGGTACAGTCCCAGCCTCCTTGCCCTCCACCCCTCATTGCCGCCTCCAGCCAGCAGGGAGTGCCTGCCCTAAGGGTGTCCCAGGCTTCCCCTGCCTGATCCAGAGCCCGGGGCCCAGGTCTGGGAGGGATGGAGAAGGCCTCCTCAAGGAGAGGTGTTTGATCTGGGCCTCAGCCTGCTGTGTGGGGTGACGTGGGAGAGGCATTCAAGCAGAAGGACCTGCAGACAAGGCCAGGCTTGGGAAACCATCGCACATTTTGGGAGGCTGAGGCAGGAGTGGCTAGTTGCCCCGGAAGAGGTGAGAGACCATTTGGGAAGGCAAGTCAGGGCCAGGTGACAGGACTCGCAGCAGCAGAGGGGGAACTGGATCCTCTGGCCTGGAGATCCCTGACTTTGAGATGCCACTGGGAGCAGAGCTAGCCAGGGCTGCCGGCTTCGCGTTTTGCCACACAAGGGGCCTTAAACTATGTCACCATCTACTATCCCCATCATTTTGTTAGAAAGGTATTTCAAATCTCCAAAAGTTATAAATGTATAATCGCAACATTCAGAGGGGTCCTCGGTTAAATAATTTAATTTCTGAAGCACCTGCTCCATCCCTGCCATTTTTTTGTGTTTGCCATGGATCAGTCGCTCAGGAATGGGAGGGTCTCAACAGACCCGCCCAGCCTGGGGCACAGCTGGGGCGGTGGGAGGCCTGAACCCGGGCCCCAGCGCCGGTGTTGAAGGCCTGGCCGGCACAGCCGTAGGTGGCTGGTGTGTAACCTTGGGCAGTGTGCTGGCCCCTCTGTTTCCTCTCTGGGAAAGGGGGTGCTGTGCCCTTGGCCCTGCTGGGCTCACAGGGATGGTGTGGGAGTCTGGAGGCTGCGCTGGCCCAAGGGACCCCCCAATTGGTGAGGACGTTCCAGCCGGCGGCGTCCATCCCACCCCAGGTGCGAGGGAGGGGTGCACACAGGGCGTCTCCTGTTGTGATGGAGGCCGGCCCTACTGCTGGGCCTCTCTGCCCTCAGCTCATCGAGCGCTCGCCGCGCACCTTGCCTCGCTCCATAATCTACATCAGCATCATCACTTTCATCATGGGCGCCAGCATCCACCTGGTGGGCGACTCCGTGAACCACCGCCTGCTCTTCAGTGGCTACCAGCACCACCTGTCGGTCCGCGAGAACCCCATCATCAAGAATCTGAAGCCGGAGACGCTGGTGAGGCCGCCCCGCATGTGACCCCTGCGGGTACAGCCTGCCCCGGGGGCCAAAGAGATGCCGCGCCCATCACTGTGCAAGGCCTTTGCTAAAGGCAATCTGCCAGGGAGGGCACTCTGTCATTAGGGGGTGCACGCTGACCTCCACGGGGGGCGGGGTGGGGGGCTCCTGCAGGAGGGCA